ACGCACGACTCGCGCTCATCTCTGGCTAGTTGAGGCAACAATGAAAGAGTTTCCTCTTTGTAAGATTATTGTTGGATTTAAGTTTACAATTTTCATTTGGTTTTCATTGAAGACACCTCCAACTGTACTTCAGCAGAGCAATTAGGCGTGTCTACGCTCGTGGTTCATGGCCGGGCTCTTTACAAGATTATGTTCGATATTATGGCCGCAATTGAAAGGCGGCTTTTGTTTGCACAGGGCTTAGGCTATAAATTTGTTGGCTGCACCAAAATTTTGCAGAATTTTGAACCAACAAAGAGAGTGGGGTTTTTATACATATTGATGGGCCAGTTGGTGCGCTTGTTGACATTGTCTGCTCAAATCAAATGCCGAATTCCAACCCCCAACGGGAAGGCAGGGTGAGGGGGAGCAACGCATATCCTTTTAATTCATGCTCGAACGAAACCCAAATGCAATTTGACCAAAAAAGATTTAGAGGACTTTATTATTGAGCAGCCAAAAACCCAAGGCAAATAAATTGCCACAGGCCTGAGAGTTGAGAGGCGAGAGACATGGCCGCTACCCGTTGTGACCGGGGGCGGTATTCCATGCCGAACAACAATTTCGGGGATGTTTTCTTCAATGTGGCACACAAAACGAAACTAAGTTACATAAAAGCGAACTCTGAAAATCAATAAATATTGTGGCAAAAATGTCTATCAAAGCGAAATACTTGGAATAATTTTTGTGAAAGACAAAAGTGTCTAATGAATTTATTTGGTTGACAATCGTTAGCACAAACTCCCCCCCTGCTGGCATTTGTACAAGCTTGATCCTGTCTTACCAGACTGCTTTTGAGTACATTTCGAATACTCACATTTCTGGGCACTTTTCATGCACGAACTGCAAAATGCGTTCGAGTGCAACGAAAAACAATTAAAACGAAATCAATTTTCCAGCGACGGCCATGAAAAAAATGAGCAGGAAATGCCATAGAAACAGGCACACAGTCGCAGATACAGCTACAAATACATCCATATATTTCAAGTACTTGATGCCGTTAAGTTATCAGCGCCCAAGCGGCAACCATAAATGCGGTAGGGAGCCTGGGAGGGGATCGTTGTCCCACGTTAAGGTTGAACATGAAATGTCCATAAGCGAAGCATAAAACACTTGTGTGTGCGTGTGTGTTCGAGCTCTGAGATTTGGCCTTGGCTGGGCATACCCTAGCTAAAAGGGTATTAACAATTTGTCACCAACTATGCCAGGCAGGCATATTTTAGGAGATAAGACTGTTAATAAGAAGCAAGACCTGTAGGTCCTTTGTGCATGCAGCTTTATATGGCTTTATATATTCAATATAAAAATGTTTCTTAATAAATAAACCGGCTAGAACAAGTATGTGTATCACAATGCTGAAACGAGTCAATTTATTTGTATGCAGGAAAGGGTATTAAAACTTCGGTATTTCCGCTATATTCACTTTGGTTATCATTTAGTCAGCGAAGCGTTTGAAAACGCGCATAATTAATTGAGCGACTCTTTGGTAAAAGGAAAACGGGAAAAAAAACCTCGGGAAATTCAACTCCGCCACGAACAATTGCACACAAATTCGAACAGTTGTTGTGCCTATGTGTGTGTATGTGTGTGGGTTTCTGATAAGGCACAAGTTCAAGTGCATTTGGGGTCTGGCCGCAGTTCAAATCGCTTAACAAATTCCAACTAATAGAAATGCATTTTTAAATGAATTTAAAGCGCCGCAGAGTCAACGCAGCTGGGTACCAATTCTGCTGCTGCTTCCTCTTCTCCGCCAGCTCTTCAGTTTTTTCCGTTTTTCCAACTGAAGTGAACTAATCCGCACAGCTTCGCATTTGTCACGTTTTATCAGGCCAGAGGAGGGTTGACTGACGACTCCCCGCTTCGACTTTTACATCAATGAATTTTATTGAAGATATTACATTAGACTTGCGCCTAACTATGCCTCAGTAGCGGGGGCGGAAGGCTGAATGGGGCAGCGTTTCGTGGGAGTGTGTGAAAAATGTTATTATCTCCATATCATCCCCTTTGCATGCAAATCTTCTCGATGCGTTGTTTTTCATCTAATGGAGCTATTGAAAGTGCTTCGTAATTGAAGCCGACAAAGAGACTGCACAATTGCTGCAATACAGTTGTGTTCGAGAAGTTAAAGGGCCTTTCTCATATTTTAAACTAATAAAATCGTGATCTAGTCATTTGACCATATATAAATCTTGAAAGTTTCTATACTTGAATTTAATTTTACTAATAGAACTATGTAAAACATTTGGCTAATTTAAACTACGACTTGAAGCTTTAGGATCACATATGTAGCGGAATTTCGCTGTAAAAATAAAGAGCTTACTCCAAAAACGATATTACCTACGCAAACTAAACTAAAGAGCATTTCCTAGTCTAGTTATAAAACATTTTGCTAATTTAATAAAAAGTTAAAAACCGTTTGGCTTATTTTAGATCACATATAAAGCATTTTTAAGGGTGTTAGCTTGAAATGCCCAAAGGGTTCAGGCGCACTTTTTCTCCATAAATAGGGACTTTACCCCAAAAAAGTCGAGCTTAGTCGAGCTATAATGCAATTAGTTGATTTAATGACAAATAAAATTATATTTAGCTAATTTCAGCACCGACTCTTCGCTTCTAGTTCCCATTATAAGGGTGTTTGCTTGGAATTCCCAAAGGGTTCAAGCGCACTTTTGCTAAAAGGGTTGATTATATTAAAAAGTCATGCGGTAAGATCAATGAGGTGTTTATCTGGATTGATTGCGTGTACTCCAACTCCACCCTGTTTTTTTCATGTACTTTTTCTTGAGTCCTTTCCTTTTTCGCACTTTAAAATCTGTATAGAATATAAAGTTCTTCTTCGGCAAACTCTTGAATAGCCAGCTTTATACATGCTGTTGTCAAGTGCAATTAATATTGTAACCACATTTGATGATGACAGCTTTGCCAACTTGTTGCACACACGCACACACAGAGGCACACACACGATGGCAACCACAAGGAATGAGCTCAATTTGAAATTCTTGACACATTTCAAATGTGCTAGAGCAAACGCATAAACCAAGCCTACCGGCCAGACCAACCGCAACTGGCCAGCTGCAAAAGGGTCTCTTTTGCTGTCTCATATTGCCACAATCCCAACTCGAACTCGAAACAGAATCCAAGCCCAATCATAATATGTGCATTGTTCCATGGTGGCAAATGAATTTGCAGCTCATATTGCGACGTCCTGTGGGAGAGGGGCAAGAGCAAAGCAAAACTCGATTTTTATTAGTGTCAATGCAGAAAACAGCAGACCCAAAGGAGCTATTCTATTGACCATATAACATATATCTATGTGTGTGTAATAAGTATCTGTGTGTATGTTGGTGTGTGTATCTTCATTTATTGCCCAGGCAACTGGATGCGGGCTGTGCTGCCAATCCCAGGATAGTTCCCTGCCATTATTTTTCATACGTATTGATAAAAGCAAACAGCACACAAATACATAGACACACACACACACCCATATATATATGCTCACATGTGGTCCTATATTGCATTATTATGATGTGCTCTTGTCTATCGACAGTCTGTGCCCCATTCCCGTCGACCAAACATCAGCATTAAAATCAGCCAAGCGCGAATCATCATCTGAACCCATCAGCAGACACTGGGCAGGGGGCAAATAAAGCAGCACTCTATATAAATTAGCGCTTTATTGAATTTTGCGGCTTGGGTGGGGTATTTGGGGGTAAAGTTCAACAACTGTTGCTTTTAGTTGAATAAAATTCCAAACTAAACTTAAAATTCGATTAAATGCGCTGTCTGTAAAGTTAGTTAAATATTGCCGATGCTTGCGTAAAGTTTCTCTAGCTTAAATCAAATGTCGGTTCAATACAATTTCAGCATCAATTTGCAATTTTCAACAGTTGTCCGAGTAGAACGAAACGCGCTGTGCATAAACAAGGGTTGGCTTTGTCATGCGTGCTTGACTCCTTGAATACCCTATATACGGGCATATTAACTGAGCTGTGAAACAGGCGGCGATACGATGATAACAGATGATAATAAAAATTAATGAAAAATTCGATTTCTACAGCAACTGCATTTGGAATTTATTTAACTCTTGCACTAAATAAAGTAATTAAATTTTCTTAAAGGAATAATTTAAGTAATTTTGTAAGAAGCTCAATACTTATGATTAATTATGTAACAGCTTAAGCTCCAAAGAGTTGTGTTTTTGATTAAGAATTAATAACTGCAGATTTTATTGAATTATTATAAATAGAGCATATAGAGCATATCTGCCTGAGTTATCTATCTAATTTTTATGATAAAATTCCTAATTATTTACTAAAAAAAAGCCTTGAATAAATTGCAATTGTAGAGCATTTACCAGTTCGTAGTTCTAATAGCCGCATTTTGCACATTTTTTATGCCCTGCACTTAACAATTTGCCACAGCGTCGCGACAAAGGCAAAGGAAATTTCGCATTTGTGATTTTCTTTTTGTGTTTATGTCGTTTTTTTTTTCGACTACCCCCTTTTTTTTATTTTGTATTTTTTTTATTCGGGGTAGCCCGTATAATAGGCCGTCGTCGCGTGCTAATGTGATTTGGCTATTAATTTTGCACAGGCTGCCGTCTAAGCCTTGGCAAATTGAATTGAGTTTCGCTTAACGCAGGGCTCCCAAGTCTGCGATGGTGTCTTGCAAAGGGCAGACAGGATGCGGCGGCATTGGTTTCCTTTATCAGTACCCAGCCCGCCCCTTCTCCCCCTCTCATGTAACCAGTCTTCAGCTAGTCGCAGCTCTTAAATTGTGGACTGTAAAACTGATAAATTTAAAATCAATAGCTGGGCGGGGAGCATGGAGTGTGGTTTTTTACTTTTACGACACTCGAGTTCCGTCTGCTGTTTGTCTTTGGGCCCGTCTTGGGTTAGGGGTATTCCCCAAACGCTGCCTTGCCAGACATTTCGGCTAATTTATTGTGTTATCTTTTCTAGCGCTCCGCCGTTCTCTGCCGTTCCTCTGGGTGCACTCTTGTCGGTCCCACGAAAATAGACGCCGACAAAAAGGCGATAAACGATAAACGAATATAAATTGCTTCGCTCCGAGCAGGCAAGTGGCCAGCCAAATGGGATTCAACTCGGATCTAAAGGTACTTTTATATCAATTAAATTTTTAAAGAGAATTTTCAATGTTATTTTCGCTTTGTGCGACATATAAAAAATGATGCTGCAAAGTGCAGAACAATGCGAAAACAAGCTGTAGATTTGGAGTTTAGGTTATTCGACTAGAAAATACCCTGTCTACAAGAGGTTCCTTTGCTGTAGGGAATATATATTTGCAAAAAAGCAAAGAATCGTATTAGCTGAATAATATGCTTTTATAAGGGTTTGCGTTACACATTCCATGACAAAATTATAATACCCTATATAAGAGAATAAAAACAGAGCTGTTTTAATTTAACTTTTTATGCTTCATAGTCTTACACAGTCTCAACTACATGATACTCTTTTGAGTCCATTTATAGGGTATAAAAAAAGTGTATTGTTCGCAAAAAAAAAAAAAAACTCGCCCATTTTTCACATGACTCAACTGTTTAGCTGGCAAACATAATGCCAAATTGTAACAATTGAGTTGGGTTGTTGCCTTGGTGAAAATGCAGCTAAAATTGATTTTTAACTCTATTGTGCACTGGACCCGCAACACAATGATAAATGGACGGGCAGGTGTATGTGTTTAAATGCTGGGGGTGTGCGTATCTGTGCGTATCTATATCTGAGACTCTGTATCCGACCCCGCCTGCTGTGCAACGAAATGTGGCATGTAGGCAGTGCATTTGCCAACGGGCGCAGCTGCAATCCGAACCGAAACTGAAACCTCAAAGGCAGCCTTCGGTTTTGATATATTAATTGGAAGTTGTGCCGCATATAGAGAGAGAGAGCTATCGGTTTGCCAAACAATTTGCCTTGATTATGACGCACATTCGTCAGTTGATTGGGACTCGGATTCATCGTGAGGTGGGTGGCTGGCTACGATATGTGGTATATATGTATATATTTATATAGATATGTATATCTGCCCCCTTGGGCGCAGTTTTTGTTTGTTCAAGGCGCTGGCTGTTGACACTAACCCAAACCAAAGCAGCTGATAACGTGGCGCCGGCACGTGACCCACTAATGAGCATTTGTGTTGGCGTTTGAAGCCAGCGGCTTCGGGTCCGGGGTCATGCAAATAGCTAAGCCGCGCACTTTCCTGGAAGCTCGCTGTGTGGCAGCAACTGGCTCATAAAAAAGTCATTTACTTGGCTCCGTCTTCCAGCTCGTTCAAGCCATAAACTATATTCATTAAAAATTGTCTAGAATTTCGAGAGCAGTTTTAAAGTCAGGTAGCAAAGTGTTGCCGGAAATTTTTGGTTTTTCGGCATAATTAGATGCCGAGCACAGACTCAAGATTTATGTCGGCCCTCGATACAACAATTGTGCGGCATTTGCCTTCAAGAGACGCTTTGTGCGGTCGCCTGACGCACTATTTTCTTCTGCTTCTTCATCTTATTTTGTTCTAGCCGGAAATTGTAAAACTTGTTCGTAAGTCAAAGAGCAAAAAGGTTGCCAGATACCATGTTTAGATCTTGAACATATTATTCAATTGCAACTTCGCAATTTGTGAACAGATTTATGTCGTTTTTCACAGCTCTCAGCTCAATGCCTGGGAAAATTGTTGGTTCCTTGGCAACTTTTCTAATTAAAGTACGTAAATCAGTCGTCAACCGCGGCCTCTCTTTTCCTGCTGCATCTTCAATTGGGGGTTGGTTTTCGGTTGGCTCTCTTAATTAACGACCAATGTGACAATTTCACTGCTTAGCGGACAATGAGCAATGAATTTCAATTAAAAAAGTAGACGCTGCCTCAGCTGGAAAATATTGCAATTAAAATATTCATATTCAGGCTGGAGCATAAAGCGTGGAAATGGTGGAAGTGCTGCCCAACCTAGTTGGTCAATAACCCACCAACGCGAAAAATAATAATTTTTTCGCTGTATGCAAAAGCAAAAATAAATATTAAAAAAATTCAGTAAAAGTAAAAGTAAACAGCTACGGAGAGAGTTTTGCTTAGCAAGTCGAGCACGCGATACCCTTGTGGGCAAACGATAAAAATGTGTGAAAACCAAATTTACATATTTGTTATTGCTACATAGATAATTTGGCTTTAAGCAGAAACTAATATATTTAAATTTTAACATTAAAGACTCGTAAATATTTAAAATAATAAATTATAAAAAGACATTACGAAATCTTTCCTAGCGTACATTAACGCCTTTAAATTTGGAGGGATAAGAACAGCGAGTATCATAAAATAAAAAAAAAGGTTCTGGGCAACATATTTTTCTGAGTAATATATTGTAGAAGAAACTAATAATTATGTGATAATGCGGGTCAAAGGTTAAATTAACGAAATCGAAGTTTTATTCTCGGCTTAAGGATTCTTACCACAAGGCTTACATGAGCGGAAACATTTGATATGGATTTATGGTTTCCTTATTCCATTCATTTTTAAATAGATAATAGTTCAAGATAGTACGTGCTGAATAACATTTTTCACATATTGACCTTACAATATATTTTTGAATATGTTGCACATTTCTTGCCATAAACATATTACCCTCTGCCCTGGGGTAGTGTATGCGCAAACAAAAAAGTGAAAGTAAAAAGTAATACAAACAATAGTCACCCCATTTTGTTTTGTATACGACGCCTTCCTGCGTTTGCCCTCCATTTACACGGTTGAGTGTGTCTACTCGAAATTGTACTTGAAATGTTCTGCAAAAAAACAACACAAATATTTGTGCAAATATTTACAGACGGGGTGTGCTTGGGTTAGGGGGCATGCAGGGCACAATATCTTCCACACTCCCCATTTTCAGACATACCTTAATGATTTGTCAATAGTCGCATGTGCCAGTGGCATTTAGATTGCTTGAATTCTCATGTTTATGAATGTGTAAGCGTATTACCAAGTACTTAGCCCACCATATAAAGCCCCCCAAACCGAATCCTCATAGTTCCTCGGACATTGCGTTCATATTTGATGAGTGTGTGTGTGTGTGTGTGTGCGCATATTCCCCTTATTCGCACGTCTTATCGGCATCTCTGACAGCCATGTGGTGCACACTGCGATTGCGTCTTATATTCCCCTCTCCGGGCGAAAATACACCAAGTACTTTGGCCGCATATGGACATCGCTCGGAAAGTGTGCCAAATGTATCGATATGAGACGTGTGTGTTCGCAGCTCCTTGGCCTTTGTTTATTTATTTTCAAGGCAGCAAGCAGCAGATGCTCACTTGAAGGAGAGCCGGGCCCTAAAATGCATAACTACATGCAACAACAAGGAGTCCGCGCAGGAGTAGAATTTACATTGTGTATAAACCAGCTGACATGCTGCTGCTGCAACTCATTTATGAGCCTTTGGTAAGCGTTGTTAAGCGTTGTCTTTTGGCATTTTGACAGCTGTCACGCAATTGTTATGCTTATTAGCTTAGCCATTTAACATACTCTGACACATCCTTACAATGTACACTTTGGGCATCTGGGCTTAGCTCCAGACAAATGTTTTTGCATTAAACATTTTCCTTACACGTTCAAAAACCATTTTGGCCTGTCTCCTCAGTCCTTGTTCTTGACTTTTGGCGAACAGTATCTGTTGCCATGAAACTCTCGTTTAACTCTTTTTCTAAAGAACTAATTCTGGTTTTTCTAAATTATATTGGCGCTTTTTATAAATTTTACCTATAGACATAGCTTAAAATTTCCCACCTCCATAACTCGGTCAAATCTCATCCGATTTCCACGAGGCTTGGAACTTTTTCCATTGTTTTGCCTCTAAATCAATTGGGCATCCAAATCTGCCAACATGATTTCTAGTCAAAATTCATGCAAAAATGGGACCCTCAAATATCCCATACAGACACAGTTCATTATTAAAAACATGTTAATTTAATAAAAGTATTGCAGCATTTTTGGCTTCGCATGTTAAATGAGATGTTTTTTACGAATCTGCCGTAAAGTATGCATAAATTTTGTGAAGATCTTCAGCTGTGAATTTAAGAGAACCAAAATAAGTTAAAACGAGAAAGAAAGGCTATCTTCGGCACACCGAAGATCTAATACCCTTGCATACCCAACCTTTTCATAATGCTTATTGTGCTTTGCCCGTATCTAAGAAGCACAGGGAAAATAGTTAATGCCGAGTTTGGGCAAGATATCTTGAAAAACAAAATGTTTTTTCATACAACAACTTAATTTTCGACCGATCGTTGGCAGCTATATGATATAGTCGTCCGATCCAGCTGGTTTTGACATATGTTCTGTGTGCAACAGAAAGAGGGACTTCTGCAAAATTTCATTAAGATAGCTTTTAAACTGAGAGACTAGTTCGCATAAAAACAGACAGACGGACAGACGGACATGGCTCGATCGACTCGGCTGTTGATGCTGATCAAGAATATATATATACTTTATGGGGTCGGAGATGTCATTTCACGACAAAATTATAATACAACCTGCTAGGGTATAAAATGTTTGTGCTAAAAAATTGTAAAAATTTGTTTATTGTTTCCTAAAACAATAAAAAATAGTCAAAGCAAATAAAAGAGTATATAAAAAAATGTAATAAATGACATAAAATACACAAACATACATAAATTATGACATCCACAGCAAATACTTGAGATATTTAATAAACTCATTCAACTGCCAATTTACGCAGCAAACAAGCAACAATTAATATTAATAATTGATGGCTATTGACACTGCGCTCCCATTAGCTGCTTCATGTTGGGGCAAAATATATAAAAAAAAATATATAAAAATAAAATCATAACATTACATTGCGCAGCTCAATTATTCTTGCAACATTGTAGCAACAACAATAATAAACGCACACAAAAGCGGTTAAAAACCAATTTCCGCTAAAAACGAAATAAGAAAAACTCACGTTTGGTTTAAAAACTTTAAAGAAAAGTGGTCAAGTGGACGCAGATGAATGCGAGGTCAATTATGCTCGCAATTGGTAGCATCGCCGCGCAAACATGTCCAAGTACAAGAAAAGGGCGAAGCACCAGCAACAAGCACATTAACATTTAGATTAACATTAACA